GCCCCGACTCTTCCCCCCCCCAGGAGCCTTTTGAAGATGGCTATGCAAATGGAGAGGAAGGCACGCCAGCTGGGGAAGCAGCTGCCACTTACACACCTGATAGCAAAGGGGTGGTCAAGTTTGGCTGGATAAAAGGAGTATTGGTAAGTTTGATGTATTGTACTTGAGTTTCTTACAGATACGATCTTTCTAGTAACCTCCTCTTTTGAGAGGGATTGTGGCAGTGCTGTATAAAGAAGACATTGTGTGAGAAATGTGAAAAATGATGTCATTTTAGAAAGGGTTCGTCTTGTTTGAACTGAATTTTAAGGAATTAATACTTCAGGACATCAGATTTTCAAGGGATCATGGTTTCATAGCACAGGTTTTACAGTTTTCAAGTTGTATAAATACCAAGAAAGAAAAAGATTATATAAGTATTCATATGTAGTAAAAAACTACATATCAGTCTTGAGTGACTAAGACAAATGCAAATGGATAGAATACACTGAATGTGTGTTCACTTTGGATGTGTAAATTTGTGGACTGAAGTGTTAGAAAACTTTATTTTTGTCTACTTACTTTTAGAGAAGCAGCAAGTATTGTGTTGAGGAGAGTACCTACCTATGTATGGCAAAACTTGGCCAGGATTAAGTATTTAGGTTGTTGAACCTGTTACAAAAAAGTCATCTTCTCCTAAGCTGTGGAAGTCTTAATACTAAATACGGTGGAATTTTATCACAATTGCATATTAGTTTATTTTTAATATTTTGGCCAAGAGAAATAATGATTAATACTTAACCTCCAAATCTGTATGAATTTATACTGATGGCTACAAATGCAACAGTTAGTTAAAACATGCTGTACTTGGGCATTCAGAATATCTAACTTTAGTTCAGCAAACTTTCAGTGTGTATTAGCAGCTTCCTTACAAATTTTGAAGTAGCCTTATTCTCCACCTTGGGAGAAGGAGAGTGCCTGTGGTAGCTGCGAAACAGCTATTACAGACTTTGATGTACCACAACCAAGGGCAGAGTTGTTAATTTTAAAGCATATCTGAAGCTGACTTTGAATTTCTCCAAACCCATACAATAGTATTGGATTATTTTTGTAAGCAACAATGCTAAGTATTTAGGAGTTGCAGGATAAATGTTGCTGACCATATTCTTCCAAAATTTATTTAAAAGATTCAAGGATGATATCTTCATTTTCAGTGGTGTGAAAGCTGCAGTTAGTATTTCCTAGTAGACATAAGCTGCCTGGGTGAATATTTTCAGCTCAGGTGATTTACATTTTGCAAAAGACATATTTTAAACCTCTGAAAACAACTTTACTTTTGTTGTTTGGAGGGGTCTTTATCTCCCTTCTAGTCCTAATGACCAACTAAACTTTTTTGTAGGATGGATATTTTACTCTTTAGGTAGGAGACTCAAGACCTGCTGTTAGTCTTCTGCCTAAATTCTGTACAGTGCAAACTCTGTATTATTGAGGACTAAGAGTTTAAAATACGAGGACGAAAAGAATACCTCCCCCCCATCCTGCTAGTGTGCAGCTCTGTTATAAGATAAAAAAGTTCTAGGATTAGGAAGTTGTGGGGATTGTTTGTTTTCTAAAAGAGAATAAATTATTTAGTAGGGCATTGCTTTACTGCATTTTTTGGGGGATTTGTGGGAAATCTGAACTGGAGTTGTACACCTCACAATCATTGTAGATGTCACGATCTTATTTTTGGTCATGTATTCTGTAGTATGGATTTTGTATCCTAAAGATCAGGATCTAAATTATTTTTATTGTTTGGTCAAGACATACTGCAAGAGTCAGATATTGAAGTACTGTAATTATCTATGTTGATGGTAGTAACTTTATAATCATATCTAGGTTCCCTTTTATTTTTTAGTCAGACCTAAATTTAATAGTCTAATTAAAAAAATCTGTTCTTGTGAAATAATCTGAGAAGTAGTGAGGAAAGACTGCAAGATAATTTCAATAACATTAAAAACTGAAGTGAAGAATTAGTGGAAATGACTGCAGATATAAGACATAACCTATGTAAAATTTGTTTTGTTTCAGGTACGATGTATGTTAAATATTTGGGGTGTGATGCTCTTCATCAGACTGTCATGGATTGTAGGACAAGCTGGGATAGGTATGTGTCCTAATGCTATAATTTTACTTCAGTGGCTTTTAAATGTGATTCGAAAGAGATGTTGATCCTGAGGTTACACTTTAAAGAGGTATGGAAAATTATCTTAATATTGCCAGTTTTTAAGGTTATTTACCCTTATCAAAATTTTAAACAGTGTGAAGTGTACTCAGACTTTTTCACTTAGCTGTAAGGTATGTAATTTAAAATTGACATTTTTAAGTCTTTAGTGAACTGTAGAGATAAACTTTTGATGTAGTTATTAAAGTCTATATATAAACTGTGTGGTATATAAACAGTTCTTTTCAAACGCTTAACTTAGTATTGAACTGCATAAGATCTGGCATCTGCAAAGGGCATGTGTTTTCTTGAAGCTCTAGGATACAGCTTTTACCCTGCTGGTTAAAGGCAACATTTATCCAGTTTTATTTGTATCCTGGAAACTTTTCTGTACAAAAGAGGAGTAAAACAGCCTTTTGCTTGAATGTGTGGGACCACACAGAGTAGATTTGTATTGTATTTGCAAGACTTAATTCTCTAAAAGAGGTTAAGTTGAGGATGTGTATGTTTTAATAGTGCTGGATTCAAATCTGGTTTTCCCCCTCTTTTTCCAAAAGGTCTGTCTGTCTTGGTTATTGGAATGGCCACTGTTGTGACAACTATTACAGGACTGTCTACTTCAGCAATAGCCACAAATGGGTTTGTAAGAGGAGGTAAACCCATTTTCATAAAGCTTTTGAAACTTTCATCACTCTGAAGCATACAACTTAAGGATGGAACCTTTAAGTTATTTTCCCTTTTTTTTTTTTTTTTACCATCAGGCAAAAACCATTCTGGATAAAATGCAGGAAAGAGTTATTTTTCTGAGGAGCAGTCTTCTTTATGGTCTATATTTGACTAAGCAGTCATGTAATTAAGGATAAGTCTGTAATTAGGCTCCTAATTTGATTTGGTTAGTGGCTTGCTCTTCCACTATGAAAGAAACATTACCTATTCTTTTTTTTCTGAATATAAACATTTTGAGACAAATACCCAGGAATGAATGTGGTCTTAATATTCTTCTGCGTCTGCACTGGTTGGTTAAGAGTGTGCATGTGTGACTGTATGTGTTAGTGTCCTGAAGTAAAACTTACTAATGAAAAAATACATCCTATAAAACGGATAAGCTGTATGTATATGAGAGCATTCCAAAAGGACATGGTCTTTTTCTAGTGTTATTTTTTAATACACAGAAGAAATTTTCCACAAACTCTGTTCTCCAGCTTTCCTGAGGGTGATGGTTTTTATTCTCTTTCATGGCTTATGTGCTGATATCAGCAATTCCTACAAAATAGTTTTGTAAGTGATTGGTGCCTTTGACATGCTCGAACTGCTTCATAATATTACAAGACTGCTACTCGCAGAAAATAAAGATTATAAAATTCTCTTGATTAAGAATGAAGAGAAAAACCTCACTATCACAATGTAAACAGACCCAATGGGAAGAATTAGCTATGAATCTTAGCACTATGTCAAGCTTAGTTTAAATGCCCTTTCTTCTTTTAAATTGCATTATACATACTGGATCTTTCTTTTCTCATGAGACACCCCCCTTTTTTTTTTTTTTTTAAAAAGTCAATCAATCTTAAAAAATAATGCAAAGACTTGATTGGGAAAGAACTGTAGAACAAAATCACTGTTGTTCCTATGAAGTAATATTCTTATGTGAACATTCTCATTTGCAAAACATGTCAAAGCTGGGTACTTAGATATATTTTGCGCAAAAGTTGTAATACAGTGAAATTAAGCATTTCCTGTTGAAAATTTTTTTATGTTCACTCATTTACTTCATACTGGAGCTGAAACATTTTGTTGCTTCTAGAAAGCTTAGCCTTAAATTGGAGGAATGTGTCTCTGCTACAGTTATTTAAAACTTTGCTCTTCTCTAGCACTATTGGTACTGTTTTCCATTTGTCACATATGGGGTTTGAGATGTTTCATTGGAAGGTAGAAAATTCCCTTAACAAAGATTTAAGAAACAGGTCATGGAGGCTTGAAACTTGAGTGGATTTGTTACAGTCTTTGCCCATTTCTTGAGGTATAGATAATGAAGATATGTAATAGTAGAACTATGCACAAATGCTTTGAGTAGTTTGAAATAAAAAGCACAGTAATACTTTTGCTTGTGTTTATTTGTTTTTAACCATAGAAATTGTTGCATACCTGAATGATATGATGTGGTGCATGAGCCAGGTGATTATTTCCAACTCATGTCTTCTAATAAAAACTTGAAATGTATTTCTGAAACTTCAGCATGCCAGTGCCTAAAATATTGAGCTTTGAGTCATTTTGTAATACATCAGGGAAGATGTAAGAATAAATAGCATTTTGTTCATGTAAACTTTAAATTGCTGTGACTGTCTAGTTTTAGGTTCCTTCATGTAGCATTTTTTTATCTTCCCCCCCCCACAGGAGGTGCATATTACTTAATTTCCAGGAGCCTGGGGCCAGAGTTTGGTGGTGCCATAGGACTGATTTTTGCATTTGCCAATGCTGTTGCTGTAGCAATGTATGTTGTTGGCTTTGCAGAGACGGTTGTGGAACTGCTCAAGGTATATGGATCATAGTGGTTATATTGCACTGTCCTTCATGCAAGTTTGAGCTGTCATCTAATTATAAAATCATGGAATGGTTTGGGGTTAAGGGACGTTTAAAGGTCACCTAGTCCGACCCCTCTGCAATAAGCAAGGGCATCTTCAACTAGATCAGGTTGCTCAAAGCCCCATCCAGCCTGGCCTTGAATGTTTACAGGAATGGGACACATCTACACTCCCTGTGCAATCTGTTTCAGTTTTTTACTACCCTCATCATTTAAAAAAAAAAAAAAGCTTCCTTATGTGTAGTCTGAATCTACGCTCTTTTAGTTTAAAACCATTACCCCTTGTCCTATCACTACAAGCCTTATTAAAAAGTCTATCTCCATCTTTCTTATAAGCCCCCTTAAGTAATGAAAGGCTGCAATAAGGTCTCCCCAGAACCTTCTCTTCTACACACTGAGCAAGCCCAGTTCTCTCACTCTGTCTCCAGAGGAGAGGCGCTTCAGCCCTCCGATCACCTTTGCGGCCCTCTGTGCGCACAGCAACATCCATATCCTTATGCTGGGGACCTCAGAGCTGAACACAGTACTCCAGATCAGGTCTCATGAGAGCAAAATAGAAACTGCTTGACCTGCTGGTCACATTTCTTTTGATGTAGCCCAATATATGTTTGGCTTTCTGGGCTGCAAGCGCATGTTGCTGGGACATGTTGAGTTTCTCATCAAAGTACATCTCCAAGTCCTTCTCTTCAGGACTGCCCTCAATTAATTCTTCCCCCAGCCTCTATTGATACTGGGTGTTGCCCTGACCAGTTCAAAGACATGGAATGATGTATAAGGTTACTACTGATACACCAGTAAAATACTACTGTAAATCAGTAGGTTTTTTTGTAAAAAACCAAATTATCATCAGTGTGAAGTGGAAACTTCCCACACTTTTTATCTCCCTGAAAAATTAAAATGTATAATTTGTGAAAAAGTCCAAGCTGGCTATTGAGAAGAGTGGCAGTACAGATACATGAAGCAGAATCATAGGTTGTCAATGCTGTGTTTCTTAGTAGTGCACTGTTTCATGTAAGTGATAGTCATTTATATTAAACTAATTTTCAAAGGAGTTCTGCTTATTAAAAAGAATTCTCTAAGTTAAACACGACCAAGTAGTATTTGTCTGATGGATTTTTTGGTTAATTGTAACACTGAGAAGAACTCAACCATACTTTTCGTAGATGGGAAGAAGTTTGGAATACATTAAAAAAATCAAAAGTAATAGTGAACAATAAGTAAAATACATGTAGAAGTGCAAGATGGTAGCAGTTGCCTTGATGACTAATCTATTTCTCTGGTAGTTGAAGACTGACTCTTCTCTCTGGGGATGGACTATGAATAAGAATGATATTGCCATTTAGAAAATTCAGAGATGTAAAATAAGGCAAAAACCAAATTCCTTTTGCCTGTACAGGGGAATATAAAATAAGTAAATTTGTGATATAGAGGTTAACACTATTAATTACTGTCAATAAAATGCTGTTCTGAAGTAGAGAAGATAAGTACTTGATAAAGTATATAACTGTACCTTTTGTTTGTTTTGTTAGGAAAATGGCATGTTGATGGTTGATGAAATTAATGATATCAGAATCATAGGAGCTATCACAGTGGTAATATTGCTGGGTATTTCTGTTGCTGGAATGGAGTGGGAAGCAAAAGTAAGGAACTAACACCTTTTCTTTTACTTTCTGCTTCATAATTTATCTCAATTATTTGATTTATTTTTCATATATTTATTGCACTCAGTATTGCATGGATGATATGTTAGACGTCAGTCAGTGCACAGTTTTTATGAAATAGCTCTCTGTCTCGCACTAGTTTGTGCAAGGTCTGAACAGTATTTCAGACCTTCACTCTGCTGGAAGCTTAAGCATCTATGAGGACCTAAAAATGAGCATAATCAGCTCTTAATCAAACTGTCATGTAGGTTAATGATATTACCCTCTTCTGGGTAACTTAGAGCACAACAAGAAAAGGTAAGAGCATTAGCATGGAAATTTTCCCTCATTGGGAACTTCAGATGAGCTCAGTGGATGGAAAATACAAGGCTGGAGCTGAAGCTAATCTCAAGTTGTGTAGTTTCTGCTAACTCAAAGCCAGTGTTTTTACCTTCCCTTCCACTCTCTTTGTTTTCACTTGGAAACAGCCAGACAGTGTGATGCAGTGACTAGGCCCAGCACTGTGGAGCATTGTGAGCATTGGCAGTGATGAATGCGTAGGAGGTAGAACCTACTTTCCTCTTCTCGTGGCTGCATGGTCTTACGTCAGCTCTGGTTGTGGGAACAAACATGTACAGATCCTAGGATATCTTAACTTAGAGGTTCCCTTATTAGTTTTCTGCTCTGCATTACTAGGCAATGTAGCTTGCTTAGCGTTTCCTGCACCTTACTTTTTCTGAGTAGCTATCCTGGGTGTGCTAAAAAATAATTGAGAAGAGCCTCACTTCCCATTTGCTATTTGGTTCACAACAGTTTCTATTTTCTCACTGAGTGGCAACTGAAGGAGTTTCTTTGTGTAAGTGTTACAAATTTCTTATGCTCCTGCATCAAGATGATGGTGATACTCATAATCAAAATGAAAGAGGGTTTTCCTTCTCATTGTTTCTTCCATCCCCCAGAAATAGGGATCGTAGAAAAAGGAAGTGAAGATCAAGTGCATTAGCTGGATCTACCACAGAAATTGACTGTGGCATGTACTTCTAAATCAAACAGCACACTTCTGTAAAAATTGTTTACCTTTCTCAGGTAGTCCTTCAATGTCTGTAACTTCAAGTTGTAATGGTATCTTTATGCACCTGACTTTGAACAATACTGTCCTTTCTAATCTCAGACTTTCAGTTTTTCCTGTGAATGAATAGTTATTAACCCTCTGGCCACTGACTTAGTCACAAGAAATCCTTTGCTCTGTAGCATGAGCAATTCTGTAACAATAGCTTGCATAGAAATTTGCCTGTTTAATGTTTCTATGCCAACCTGAACTGTGGTATCACTGCAGCACCATCCTTATTAAGAAATAGGTAGCTTGCAAAAATTCTGTGCTCAATTCAAAAATCCAAGCTTGTTGGCTTGGTTTCTGCATCATGGAAGTAGCCAGGTAGGGGTCATGGTAACCCAAGTGAATGTGTCAATCAAGTACTTCATGTGGGTTAACATACAGCTTAGCAGAGCAAAACACTAATACTTCCCACTTGATTAAAGTATCTGTGATGTTCTCCTATACCTTCCCCATGACTTAGAGAATGCCTTGGAAGATGGGACAAGGGGAATCTATAATAATGCCTTTGAAGTAGCTCTAAACGCTAAGAAAGACTGGGTTTCCTGGGAAGCCTGCTTAAAAAATGACTTTTCGGAGTTTGTGATCTCTTAATACACACCTCTTTGTCTTGAAGGCTTAGAAACCCATTCTTTGTCTGAGATTTTTGAATGTAAGGAAGATACTTAGGAAATGCTCTTAGCTTTAGTGGCAGCCTAGGCTTGTTACTGGGTAAATCCACTTGTGACAATTGCTATGTGGTAACTTCATATTAAATTCTCTGGGCTTATTGAACACTTCTGTAAGCACCCAGCTGCATCCTTACACCCCTCACCTATTTTCTGGGTTTGGCAAAGAAGAGATCTAAATATGATGCACAAACTGTTTTTTTCAGGGGATCTTTGCATTTAGCTGTCATGCTCTGTTTATCGCTGTTCTATCCTGGGTTTTTTTGCGAGGCTGTGTGAACTGAAAACTTGGTTTTACAGCAGTCAGTAATGCCACAGTGCTATTGCATGTAAAGTTCTGATCCTAGGCCTGAAAATGTCAAACTACGAATAGCTTCCCCTGAGCCATTAGCTTATGCCTTTGTAAGAAATGAAATAACACAAAAGATAACAGGGCAGTGTGGTTGCTTATGCAAATGTAAAACCTGAACCACCTCTTCAATGACTAGATTTATCTTTACTCACAGTTTTGAGGTGTTAGATGGTTTAAAGTACTACTTGTTCCAGGTGTAGGGTTTATAATGGTTTTATTGAACAGTGGCTAAACTTTTTGGTTGTAATGAAAAAAAGCCTCAAGAAAACCAGAAATTAACAAGTAATTGTGGTAGTCTGCAATGTAATTTCATAAATAAGGGTTGACAACATAATGTAACAACATAACCTAGCCTGTTGCATAAAATAGCAAAAAAAAAAAAAGCTATTTGATTCCTGATGTAATAAAATTCTTAGTAAAGTAAACATTGCACACTAGAGTATAAGGCAAGGTATTATGATCACAGTTAATAAGGCAGTACTCCTAGCACTAGTGTGCATTTAGCTCTTTTCTTCTTCCACAGTCTACTCAAATCCATTCCTTATGGAAGGCTTATAGAGGAAATAGTTCTCTTACGTATTTTGTCTTCGGAAGTCTAACCTTGAGGGATATGGTAATAAAAAAATCGCTTTTGAATGGATATTAAACTTAAAAATTATTCCTGTTCCTGTTTAAATGTCCTGGTACATGTTCTCTCCCGTTTGTCTTATTTGGGAAAACAAACTGAGAGGAGTAAGCTGAATTTGGAATCAAGTATTTACATTTTAGAACATAATACTGATCTTGAAACTGTAAAAAAAGAGCAAGTTCTTCTGTCTGACTGCAATCGTTATGTTTCAGGCACAGATAGTCTTACTGGTGATCCTTATACTTGCTATTGGAAACTTTGTCATAGGAACATTTATTCCTTTGGATAGCAAGAGGCCTAAAGGTTTCTTTGGCTATAAAGGTATGTTGGAACAGTTTGTAAGTACTGTCATTGCAATGTGGAGACATGCTGTGATAATTAAGTTAAGCATGTGAGATAGCTAACAGTCCTATATAGACTTTTTTTCCTGATTCTTTCAAACTTCTGCAGTTTTGTTCCTTAAATTTATTTGGCGAAAACTTTATCCTGCCTACTTAACATTGATTATATTGAATTTTAAAAAGCTGAATGATACTGTAAATACTTTTTCTGATTTTAAAGTCTATTTTGTGTTGACTTTTATTTTGAGGTGAAGTGATGAATTAGGATTTAAATGTTCTATGCTTAATTTTAAGAAGGTCATACAGCTGTCACTTTAAGCTTTTTCATGGTGCTAATAATGGCTGGAATGGGCTAATACCGTAGCTTCTATATGAATATTGATAGACTTAAATCTTTTTCTACAGCTGAAATATTTACGGAGAATTTTGGACCAGATTTCCGACACGACGAAACTTTCTTTTCTGTATTTGCTATTTTCTTCCCTGCTGCAACTGGCATACTTGCTGGTGCAAATATCTCAGGTGATCTTGCGGTGAGTGGTGATTAGCGAATGTTTTTTACAAACACAGAGTTTAAAAACATTTAGCTCTGTCATCACTGTCCACTGACATTTTTCTTTCAGGATCCTCAGTCAGCCATACCTAAAGGAACGCTGTTGGCCATCTTAATCACTACATTGGTTTACGTAGGAATTGCAGTGTCTGTAGGTAAATAGAGAATGTTTTTAACTTTATCCTTTCACATTAATTCTGAGGGTGTGTTTTGATACAGTTTATGTAATTCAATATGTCAAGTCATTATGTAATTGACTTTCATGCATGGGAAAGTAATAGCCAGAGGTTTCTAATTGTTATTGTTGGCAGTCCAATTTTCAGCTGGTTTTATAATTTCCTTAAACAAGTGATATTTTTCAAAGACTAATGACTGCTTCAGACTAAAGATGACAAAAAAGTTCATAGGGATTTTTTCTCATTTGTTGCTGTTATTTATGTTAAAAGACTTACAGTTTAGCAGTGGGATAACACCTGGATTACAGAAATACGTTTTCAGAAAATGCACATTGAACAAATGTATTGGTTTGAAGGTAGTGGTAGTTAACTACTTATCTGAAGTGAATTGTGGGATGATTAAATGGCTTTTTGGTAAGGATGCATGAGCCGTAATTCCCCAGTCGATGGTGGAGAGTGAGCAGTATGTTCATCTGGCCAGCCCGCTGTCAGAAGTGTTCTCATGTTCAGAAATGTTGTCTGTAGTTTTATTTTCCTGTGAAAGAAGAGAAACAATCATGGACTGTTAAGAATCTTGTATAACCTCTCTTCCCAGTCTTCCTTACCCCACAGTGGTTTGAAATTCTTTGTAGACGTTGCCTTGGGGTTTAATGATCTTTGTATCAGTTTTTCTCTAGAGTACCAATGGTCAATCAGGTTTTTCCCACCCATTAAATAATTCTATTCCAGTAACCTTGAGAACATAAGTTTGTAATTGTGTATCTCATATTTCTTGCCTATGATTGAAATGTTTTTATTTGTGTCACACAAATTAATGTCTGGTGGCAGTAATCAGTTTTCTTATATGAGACCTTGCCTTATCTTAGCGTTGCTGCCTTTTGAGTGAAATTCTCATTTATAAGAGTACCATTGATCTTACCACTAATGATATTTCCTTTCCAAAGATACCAATCTTGCTTGTCTGCCTCTGTTGGCTAACACTGTACTGTAGCTCTGCCAAGTAGTTGCTCTGTAGTGATTGTACTTTATGCAGCATAATGACCTATGCTTATTTCCTTACTATTTCCTGCTACCAAATTTGAATACTTTAGAACCTGAACCCACATGAGAGCAAAATGCTCATTAATGTTTATTTGTTAATGGAATACTTTGATCATCTTTCAAACATGAAAACCTTATTTTTCATATCGCAAAAGGAACAGTTTGTAAAACCAACTGGATGTGAAATTGTTTGCTTAAGAAATGTCCTACCTTTGTTGCCTCCTATAACTTAAAATTCTGCTAGTTAGAAAAGACCAGTGTTATTGCAGAAGACAGACATTATGACATGAGAGAAGTTTAGCCTTTTTTTGAGACAATAGATCAGGAACTGAATAAATACTAATTCTTTTTCCCACACACTATCTTCTCTGTAAGTTTGTGGAGTAGAAATAAACAAGTCATTAAAACTCTGAAGAGCCTAGTAAATGTCACTGAGTAATTGCATCTGAAGGGGAAGATAATGTTCTGAATTTAGCCCAGTATTTACGTGCTCTATAGTGAGAAAGAGGGTTAAGAAACTGGGTAGAGAAGGCTTAGAAGAGGAAAATTTGCTAGTCCTACTTCTAGAGCGAGGCACCTTATTTGAAAAAGGTAACACCTATGAGGAGAAGGCGTGCCATTTCATATTTTAGTAAGGGACTAATACAGCTGTGCAGATGGCAAGAGGAAGGTTACATAAGCAATCTTTTCTAAAAATTCTTGAAAAAAATATTTCAAAGGACAATATTTATTACTTTGAAAGCAATAGAAGTTCAAATAAAATCCCCTAACTTCTGAGTAGGGTTAAGACGTACTTTCTGTACACAGAGAAGTGAAACTAATTGAGAGCCTAACTGTATCTGCTTGTAGCACTAGAGAAGTTAAGCATTCTCAGCTGCAGTCTGAAGGACTCAGGGTAGTATCTCTGGAGTTCTTGCTGGCTGTATGTAGGTAGGAGATAATTTGATAAAGATGGCCTGCTAACCTCAGGCTTATAGCATGGCAAAACTTTATATGGCTTTGGCAGGAATGTGATTATAAATGCCTACAAAAACGTGAAATTTTGTTTTTACAGGAAGAAAAACTTAGATGCTCTTAGGGAAAATGTTGGCATGATCTTACAAATGAATAAAACATTTGAGAATGAGGGTTAAATAAAATGTATGGACCTCACTTAGATATTAAATATCCTCTGCTGAGAACAAAGCCTGCCCTTACTCTTTCATAGTAAGGCTCACATTAAGTTTGTTCATAGTACCACTGAGCCTTTCTGTCTGTCGTGGTTTAACCCCAGCCAGCAACTAAGCACCACAGAGCTGCTCGCTCTCTTCCGCCTCTCCCAATGGAATGGGGAAAGAGAATTCAAGCAAAAAGCAAGAAAACTTGTGGGTTGAGATAACAAACTGTTTAATAATTGAAAATAAATTATATGAAATAACCATACTGGTAATACTATGTCGTGAAAATACTACTACAGAATGAAAATAATGGGAAAAAGTCCCAAATCTCCACCTGCCGATCGACACCCAGCTAGTCCTCGAGAAGCCAGAGAGATCCAAAAACCAGACTCCCAGCCCAGTACCTCTGACTTACATACAGAACATGATATTTTATGGAATAAAATACCCCTTTCTTCAGTTTGGGTCAGCTGTCCTGGCTATGTCTCCTCCCAGCTTCTTGTAGAGAAGTGCAGTATGGATAACTGAAAAAGTCCTTGATTTGATACAAACTTTACCTGGTAACAACTAAAACATCAGTGTCACCAACATTCTTCTCCGCACAAATCCAAAACATAGCCCAGTACTAGCTACCGTGAAGAAAATGCACTCTCCCAAGAAAAACCAGTATGCTGTCATACTTTGACTCTGTGTGTGGAAGACCTGCCAGCCATTTCGATCTGAACTCTGAAAAAGGGAATGAGGAAGAGCAGAGCTGTGATAGTGCGCTGTAGCTATTTAATGTGTTGCTCAACTTAGTGGCTCTGCCACTGCAATCTGTTACCAACAAAATGCTGTCTAGAAATAGTTCAGGTAAGTATATCGTCACATCCATTGTATACTGCTTAAAATCACTAGGGCAGATTCGTGCATAGAGGAAGAAAAGAAACTTTTGCTCATGCAGAGCTTTTAATGCTATTTAAAACAGAACTAAAACAACAAGAAAAAGCCCAGCCCCTGCACATACCCACAAGAAAAACATAAGACAGGTGATAAATTTAAGAAACTCTTACTGAAATTCAACCAATTATGTCTAATAAGTAACTTAAAAATAAATCTGAAAAGTGGAAGCATTAGTTAATATCCACTGCCCAGAACCAGGTGTAATTGTGGCCTGCTAATCAAGTTCTAATGGCTGAGAAGCAATCTAAATGCGGTATAGGTATTTAGGAATTTGTTTTCCCAGTGAAAGAGAAACACATTATGTAGATAACAGGGATTTTTATTTGAGAAACTTAAGTTTGCAGCACATCTGTGACTTCCGTATTTTGCAAGTGAGTAGTTTAGGTCCTCAGGAGTCACATGGTTCTGTTACCAGGACCTCCTTTTAGGTACCTCAAGTACCTAAAAGACCTAAGTAAGGTGTCTTAAGTAACAATTTAACTACCTCAACTATTAAACCATAGAATGTTAAATAATACTTAGTCTGCTCTAGTTTGTTTTGTCTTTTATGAGACAAAAACCCCTTGAAGTAGATGACTTTAGGGCTTTTTAGTACTTTTTAGTTTTTCTTAGTACTTAAGGGCTGAAACGTTGTGTCTTCAGCACTTTCTTGACCAGTGAAATTTTGGATAATCATAGATGAAGACAGCAGTTTAAGTGACGATTATAAAAGTGTGGTAGGAATGACACTTTGTGGCTTTGTTTTTTACCATGAATCCAACTTAAAATACTACAGTGACATAGGAAATGGCTTAAGTGTTAGAAAATGGCTTGTACCAGGCTTTCATGACAAACTAAATCTTTTTTGAATGTCTGAACCTGGAAAAGAAATAACTGCAACACTGTGCACACCTGTCTACATACATTGGTACTTTCAGGACAAAAATGCATTCCTCCAGGAAAATTGACAAAAGAAAAACTGTAAAATCAATTGATGTAGTGTAATACTGACCAGTTAAAGAGCTATGCAGAAACTTCTGATTCAGAGAGATAATATGTTGAGTTCAAGTTTTGCAGGTGTATTGACATTGTTTTCCTCTGTGCTAAAACTTTCCTTATTAGACTAATTTATTGAGAAACTGAAGAACATGTCATGGAAGACAGCAATTCATTTGCTTGTGTATATTTGTTCTTCATAGTGAAGATGTGCTTAATAATGAAATGTAATAAAAATGTAAATGCATATTTTAATGTTGCTTTGTGAGAGAATGCTTACATAAAAATGGATTTGAGCTTGGCACATGTCCTTAAGGTCAGGCTCAGTCTGTTAATGCTTTTTTTTGTGATTATGTCCACTCTAGGTTCCTGTGTTGTTCGAGACGCCACAGGAAACATTAACAACACCATTGTCACTGAGCTGACAAATTGCACTACTGCAGCTTGCAAATTAAACTATGATTTCTCATCCTGTCAAACAGAGTGTCAGTATGGGCTGATGAACAACTTCCAGGTATAAAACTTTCTTCTAAATCTGTTCATTGACTTTTTTGTTTGTTCTTTTTTGAATTTCATATTAAGAAAAATTGTAGTCTAAAAATGCTTAAAGTGGTACACTGTAGCTAGTATGTAAAACAATGTGTCTTAAAAACTTTCGGGTGTTTATACACAGGTGGTATAAATATTTACTCTTTTGAGGAAATGGCTTAGGTTAGGTGGTGGGACTGCAACTTTATCTCTCTGGGTATCTGAATGTCATCATTCAGTGATGTGTAGGTTAACTAACTGAGAACAAATACTTTACAAACATAAATTTGTCCCTAAAGTGAGCAAGGATTGTTGTATTTGTCTTACAACTTGAAAGGATGCGGATTTTGAGGTTGAAAGTGCCAGCTTACTCGTGTGCACAGCTTGATGACTTTATCACTTAGGTATGCTTTGTGCTGCATTCAGCTCTTCTGGCAAACAATTGATTTGAAGTTGGTGCTTAGGTAGCACCATGGCATACTGGTTCTGCTAGACCTGGTTCCCCTTTTGTTCCCCTAGCTTAGAAGCTTCCTAATGTCTCATACTTTAGTAACCTAAATAGTAACTTACTAGCTCTTAAAATGGACAAACATTATCTGCATACATCTCACTCAGATGTCTCAAATTTATAAAACAGATGTAATATTAAAAAATAGATAGTGTAAATAAATGGAGGCAATGAACAGAACCTAGAAAGAGAATGTAAAATCTGAGTAGATTGTAAGAACTAAATTGCTAGAAGTTGATGCAAGTGTAGTAAAGTGAAGGACTTGAAATAAAAATGTTTTAAATCAGATGAGAATAAAAGTGATGAAGACTTGCACACAGATTCTATCTATAAGAAGTCCTTCCAGGGAAGATTGATCAAGCCATCCTTGCAGGGAAAAAAATTTTCATACTGCTTCCACAAAGATTATTCTATGCTTGTTTATTATTTTGCTATAGCAAAAGTTTCTTTCTTAAATATTCTGTCAGTAAAGCATTTACACCCTTAACTTCTCTTCTAGAAATATAGGGTTATTACAAACTGGCATTTACAACTAACTTTTTTGTTGATTATAAAACTAACAAAAGTGTGCATAGGAGGTATAGTTTAATGTATATGTCATTAGTTTTATTCATCTATGAATAAAGGCCTGTCATTCCTTCTGTTTTTGTCATCAACTACAAATATGCTTCAGGAAATCATGTCCTTCATTTGTTAACAATACTGTAACAACTACTTCATTCTCATCTTAAGCACCTGCAATTTAATTTCTCTTTTTAGGAAAGGCATGCCTTGAAGTGACCAGTGAAACCTGAGGTAGCATAGATGTTGAGTTGACTGTTTGAGAGACCCAGAGGTCTTTGCCAGTCTGATCTGAAAATCAACTTTATTATTAGTTGAGCCCTAGGAATATGAGTAAAACTTCATCAGTTCCCTGTATGTTGGTTTTGAGAGCATGTCCTATGTAGTAAGGTTGTTTTAGAGAGCTAGATTTTACAACTTTAGGTGACAGTAACTTTTAAACTGGACACTTCTGCATGATCTTTCTAGCCTTCCTTTAGTCCCTTTCCTGATACTCCTAGTGAGGTTGCCAAGATGAAAAAGGCAGGTAGTCAGTGCAGATGATGCAGAACCTCATTTTTGACACCTTATGCTTGAAAAGGCATAGTGCTGTGTTTCGTCCATTTACTGAAAACATAAGCTTTCTCAAGATGGTATCAAATTCTGAAACGCTGGCTGATCTCAGCTTAGGCCTTTATGAAACAAAGAAAATTAAAACCAGTCATTGTTCAATAAAGTAAAATACATAGTTCTGTATCTTAATTCACGTGACACATGCAAAGCTGGATGCAACTCTGGTACAGAAATAATCAGGAGAGTGGTAGAAGATGGTCTATAGGCTATATGGCAATTAGACAGAAACTGCTGTGGTTCTAATTTGGGAAGTTTTTTTCATGTCTTACCAGCATTGTTCTTCTACACTTAGCTTACTGAACATTTATCATTTTGTTAGTCATCCAGTCTACTAAGAGTTGCATATTGTATTTCCATATCTGGGGTTACAAAGTTGTTGTAGCATGTGATCTTGGGGAGACCAGAAGAACATTTCTCCTGTCCTTGTAGTTTTGAATGGGAAACAAGCCTAAATTAGTGATGTATGTGTTGAGAAAGACAATCAGCTTTTCCAAACATGTTCCCCAATTTCAGTTGTTTTGTCACTTGGGCTTTCTGAGACCCTATTATTCAGTGGTAGGCCAGTCAAAATAAATAAGAATTCGTATGTTTTTCTTCCATGACTTATTTTTAATCCTTTTATGAGCACTTGGAGACTTTTGCCATTGACTGTTTTGACCTGAGATTTACGTGGTTGGACTATATATTGTGTGAGAAGACACGTTCTCTTGTTCTGAAATTAGGATCCATTTCTATTCCCTGGTTTGTCCCTCGTTCATTCATTGATGTGAATGCATAATATTCAAACAACTTTTAAATGGAGGGTATATAGTGTTTAATAATAATAAATAATATA